TTCCCAATGAGAAATGTAATTGTGTTGTATACCTACAATGCACCAATAAAAGAATTTAATACAAAAAAATAAAAAAGAAAACGCTTTCAGTTTTTCCCTATTTAATATGATGTAGGCCATTGGTTTGTCATTAATAGCTTTTTATCAAATTCAGGCATGGTTCTTCTATGGACAATTTTATTCAGGGTTCTTATCATGAAGAAGTGTTGGGTATTGTCAGAAAGCCTTTCCTGCATCTATTGAGATAATCACGTGGTTTTTATCCTCGCTTCTGTTTATGTTGTGTATTACATTTATTGATTTGCATATGTTGAGATATCCTTGCAACTCTGGGATGAAACCTACTCAGTCATGATGTATGATCTTTTTGATATATTGTATTATATTTGCTAATATCTTGGAGAAGATTTTTTGAACTATATTCATTAAGGAGATTGGCCTATAATTTCCTTTTTCAGTTGGGTCTTTAACTGGTCTTGGAATCAGAGTGATGCTGGCTTCTATAAATGAGTTTGGAAGCACTCTGTCTCTTTCAATTTCACCAAAGAAGTTGAAGAGTGTTTCTGATATAACATCCTTACATGTTTTGTGGAATTTAACAGTGACTCCATCAGGTCCTGGGCTGTTTTCAGACGGTAGGTTTTTATTACTATGCCTCTTCTGATCAGTTTTGGCTTGAAGTCCACTTTGTCTATATATAGAATAGCTATACCTACTTGTTTTTGCATTCCTGTTACATGAAACATTGTTTTCTACCCATTGATTTTTAGTCTAGGAATTTCTTTTTGGAGTAAATGTTTCTTTCCTTTCTCTTTTGGCACTGGGAATCGAACTCAGGACCTTGTGCATGCAAGGCAGGTGCGGTGCCACTGAGCTAAATCCCCAGCCCTAGAGTGTAAATGTTTCTTGTGTATAGTATACTGTTGGATTTTGTTTGACTTATTATGCCAGTCTGTATCTGTTGATTGAGGTATTGTGATCATTCATGTTGAGTTATTACTGAAAAGTATTGACTCAGTCCTGTCACTGCATCATTTTCTTCTTGCTGCCTTCCTTTCCCCCTTTTCCTTAACTGCTCACCCTACCTAGTGTATTCATTCTATTAGACTTATTGCCATTTTTGGATTCATTGTCTCTTCTAGGATATACTTTAGAATTGTTTGGTGGCCACGAATTTCTTTAGGTGCTCTTCACTTCACTGCACGCTCTCTTGGCCCTTCAGGTTTATGTTGAGACGTCTGCTGTAATTCTGAAGGGTTTACCTTTATAAGTGGTTCATTGCTTTTCTCTAACAGCTTTTAAGATTATATTCTTGTGTTGGACTTCAGAAGTTTTCAGTATGTTGTAAGATGGAGAGGTTCTTTTCTGGTCATGGATAATTGAGATTTTTGCCTCACTTATCTGTATGTTAAATTCTTTCTTCATACTTGGAAAGTTTTCTATTATTTATGTAAACATGTATTTTAGTGTAATTTGTGCTGTCTTCTGATTTTTCACTAATTTTAATCTCAGATTAGTCTTCTTTGCATTATCTAACAGCTGTTAAACTCATTTTCCATGTTCTCTTGCTATTTTTAGTGTATGTCGAGTAAGTGTTCACTGACATCACCCTAGTCTTCTGGCTCTAATATTCTATCTTTACATTGGTCATTTCTGCTGCCCATACTTTCAATGTAATTTTTAATTCCTGGATTTCTGTTTGGTACCTTTTCATGGACCATATGTTTTTGGTAAACTGGTCATTCAAGATTTGTATTGTTTTGTTTAGCTCAGCTATTTATTAGTGTCTTCTGTAAACTTGCTGATTGTTTTGTTTATTAAGCCCATTATCTGTTTAATTATATCTTCTTTGAGCTCAGTGAGCACCTTCTTGATCTGTTGTTTATCTTTCTTTTATCACTTCAAATAATCCACCTGTGTGGCTTTTGATTTCCTCCCCTGTGATATCCCATGGATCAGCTTGCGGGGTTGGGTATTTTGGGAAGCATTTCATTGCCTTGTTTTCTCATGGGGTGTGTGTGTGTGTGTACTGAGGTCAATTATAGTGGAAAGACTTCGCTAGTACAGAGACCTTTTTAGTTAGTGTCTGCTTTTCAGTGATGCACTCTAAGTATGGGCTAACTATAGACCTTTGCCTCTATTGCAAGATCCAACCACATCCATTAATTTGGGAGGGGAGGGTACAGTATAATTGGTGGAGCACCCAGTTCTCTGGGAATGGACCACAGTTTTGTTAACTACACAAAGGCAATCCAGATATTGGCATACAGAGAAAACCAATTACAATGGACCCTTGACCTATGAACTCGATTGTTCCTGAGGGCTGGTTGTAACTCAAGTTGGTTGTAGGTCAATACAGCTGAGATTTGGATGTTTACCTGGGTACATGCTATAGATAACAAGAGGCAGATGAATCTTCCATTAACCTAATTAACCCAGGTTGTTTGTATGTCAGGCAGGTCGTAACTTCAGAGTTCACTGTAACAGCAACAACTATGGCATCCTGGCAATAGCAATAAAATCAGTGACAATAATAGAGTCAAAGACAAACTGGATAATGATGTACTACAAGAGCCATTGATGTCCCACCCTTAACCATTGAGAAGAGATCTATTACTGTAGTATAAATACTAAGACAAAACAAATATTAACATACAGCTATGGCTGATGTTTTGGTCTAGTCTTCCAAGAAAGGCCATTTTAGTTTTAGTCACTTCTAAAGTCATGTGCTCACTAACTTTGGGGACTGTTTGCATGTGAGTGCGGATACAAATTAAAACCCAAGCTGACCTCTTCGCATGGCACCCCATGAATGTTGACAATGGAAGGAATACCTTGTCTGTAGTATGCTGTCATTTCTGGACTGAAAAGCTGGGGAAGAAACTTAATTTTCTTCTTTGCATAGATTAGAAAAACTTAAAAAGCTAAATGTGCTGAAGTCTTAATTGGCCTCAGCAGGTGAAGTGAGCTGATAGTGTTAATTCAGATTTAAGAAATTATCTGAATCTTGGTTTGTGTAGATTTACAATCTACATGCATTATTAGTAAAACAGATAGCTTTTACAGTTCCATGTGTGTACATAAGCTCCCCCACGCCTTCCTACATCCATTAGTTACTGAACTTTGTAAACTGGCATTGTAACATTACAACAATGTTTCGTTGCACCAATTTTATAAACTTTACAGTGCAATACTTGTTACTTTTCTGAGGCAAACCACAGGTATATTTCTCAAGGTTTTTGCTGCCTTCTTTAGCAGCATTTGATGGATCTTTTATACATTTGTAATAGATAAAAATAAACCAGATTGCAAATCCTTTTTAAAATCTTGAACCATGTACCAACTTTTTGGTTGAAATTGTGTAGGATAAGTTAAGTTGCATTCTCTTAACCAATATGAGTGTATTTCTGTAAGCATAGTTATGTTGAAATAAAGTTGTGAAAAGCAAAAAAACCAAAACCCAAAAAACAAAAAACATACAGTGTTATAGGAACCAGGTCTATGAGCTCAAACCTGACCAAGGGGTGAGGAGGATGATAAATAAAGAGACAGAAACAGGTTATATGTGGGGGGCCAGGGGCTCATGTCTCCCTTCAACATAGAGCCCCAGCTGATTGGAGCACCTTGGCTTTATTCACTCTGACACAGGCACAACCATTTAGAGTTCCAGAGGACTCATCTGCCTCCCACCCTCCACAGTACTTCTCGGGTAAACAACTTAATCTCAGGTGTCTTCACTTTTCGCTGCAGCGTGTTAGCAGCTTGCCTGCCTTCTTTCTTCTCAGTGCTCACCGAGGAGACCAATGAGGCCTCATTCTTCCCATCTGGTCTCCCACACAGTGTACAGCTACTAAATGCAAAAACTGTATCTCCACTAACGACAAAAAATATTCAATAGTAATTGCATGGAATTAACTATCTAAAGATTAATAAAGGTGAATGGTTATACTAGTAAAGGTAAAGGGAGTGGGGAATGGGAGAATGACAAGTGTAAAGTTTGAAAAATTAAGGGATGGAAGATGTGGAGGGGAGAAAAATGAGAAAGAATCCTAATAAGTAAATGGAAATTAGTAAAATTAAAGTAACAGAAAAGAACAGAGAAGAAAAGGAAAAATGAAAAAAACAGCAAAATAAAGATGAAAAAAAATATATAAAAAGGAAAAAGGAAAAATAGTCCCACATCCCAAAACACCAGTGAAGAGGGGGGGAAAAAGAACTTCCTACACATTTTGAATGTTTGAATGAGTGATTTCTTTCTGGGATCTGCAGTCTTGCAATTCTGCAAGTCACTGTTTCCTCCACATAGCTTTATGGCCTATGGGTTTCTGAGGTCCCCCTCCAACACACACACACACACCCTTCTTTTCCTATACCCCAGACCTTGACCACCATCTAAGCTTAGGTGTGTTCTTGCTCATGTTGGGGAAAGCTCACACATCAGTGATCTCTGTGCTGGATGTACGTGGTGGCGTGGGTGTTCAGGCAGATCGCTGGACTTAGTGCTGGCACTTTCAGATCCTGCCACCTCTGAAAGCCACACACACTGGGAATTTCTTCTCACCATGGAGGGTGGGGACCCGATGTCCTTCCTGTGCTGAGTTTAAACTTCTCAGGGGGTCTGTGTCTAGCCTGCACTCTCTCCATGCTCTCTTGTGGCTGTCTTCCACCCAGTCGTTGTGTGTGGTAGCACTAGAAACTCAAGTGTAGTTGTTCTGTGGCTCAGTCTTAAACAACCCTTTCCCAAAGCAGCTCATGATTAAACCCTTCAAAATATGGGAAGTGCTGCACTGGATTTCTTCTCCAATTTCACCCTGCCATGTGGAAGGAGCCACTTTTGAGTAAAACATCATCCTGTTTTGGCAGTTTACAATAGCTGTGGGCTTTTCTTGGGGCTAGCATTATTGACCCAATCCATTGTTTCTTGCTGTTGCTGCCAACCGTCCAGGCTTACCTTCTCTCCCTGGGCATAGGCCTTCTCCATGATCCAGGCAGTTGGTAGGTTGGTCAACACCTCTGCTGTCTCATACCTAGGGGAAAGAAAATAAAGAGTAGGCTCAGAGTTGGCCAACAGGCCTGGCACAGAATCTATGGTTGTGGAGTACGCTGGGGGCAAATGCCTCAAAAAATCTTTCAAAATCAAATTACTAGAGAGCATACAGGCTCAACCAGCAAAACTATGGGTCCTTCAGGATCCTTGAAATTAGCCCTATAATTTGCACAGCTTTCTATTCTCCAGAACACTTTCTCATAAATCCTCTAAGGGCAACGTGTAAGGGAGGTCTGAACAGATCATTTATGGAGGCGCTTAAATAAGATCTCACTGGCTGATTCAGGATCCCCAAAGTCTCCTCTTGGGAACTCTCTATTAACTTTTTCTGTCCCTAACTACTGCCATTTGGAGAAAGCTTCTCTCTGAGTTTTGGTGAACTGACACTGGAATATAGCAGCACAAGGAGGAGAAGGAGGAGGGAAGTGAGTCCCTGGGACCCAGGAAGGATCTGAGGCAAAAACTGAAGTCTACAGGCAGAGTGAAGAGACAGACTTTAACGAAGAGGAGGGAGGTACCAAGCAGCGCTCTCTCCCAGAGCCCGGACTCTCTGAGAGGGAATGGTAGGCTGACCTGCTGGCACTCAGTGATACTGATGACCCCAGAGGCCTCCATGGAGAAACGTACCAGCGGAATGGAGCAGTGGACACATCGGACTGCAGTGGCGGGTGAGTTATCTGGATTCAGCCCTCACACAGGAGAGGATGACTGGCTGGTAGCCATCTTGGAGAGGGGCCAACTGAGCTCAGAACTCAGAACCGCTGTGGGCAGACTCCATCTAGTGGCTTCTGGTGCCTCAGTGTGGGAACTGTGTTCAAGTCATCAGGAGGTCAGGGACTGGAGTTCAAGCTGGCAGGAAACACATAGACTGTTGTAGGTTCAAGGAATCTGGTTCCATCTCATAGCCAGAAATCAGCCTGAACTTCAGAGGAACTAACCACTGCCACCTGAGGAGTTGCCCCCATGTCCCTGCATCAGCAGTGGAGGGTCATGTGCCACACCTATTTTTAGCCATTCTGAACCACTGGGATTTATCAATATCTTCTGAATACAGCACAGAGTTGAGTTTTACCTTGAGAGTCAGTCTGAAAGTCTTTTCAAGAGGTTTTTATTTACAGGTATAGAAATGATTGACATATTTGGTTCAATAAGTATTTTAATGGTATATTTATTGTGCATTTTATTTAATATGTAGTCTTTATGAAGTCTGTTTATTTTGCTCTTTAAACATTTTTTTTGGTTGTTTATGAAATTTTGAAAATATGCTACTGTGGTTGCCATACAGTCTTTTTTGGATTAGGGGCCACCTTATATGAGTAAGGCTTTATTTTAGTGTATCTGCATACCTTATTCCCAAATAAAGCCACATTCTGAGGCATTGGGGGCTAGGACTCATGAATCTTGGGGGTACAATTCAACACATAACACACCCCATATTTATATCTACAGTGGTTGCCTAAAGCTCTGTCCCTTGATTCTGCAAGTTAATAAGATTTTGTTTTTATTTATTTATATATTTGATTTTTTTTTTTTTTTTGCAATGCTGGGGATTGAACCCAGGCCCTTGTGCATCCTAGACAAGTACTGTGCCACTGAGCTATATCCCCAGTTCCAAGCTAGTAAGATTGTGGGTTCTAGCCAAGTCTAGTCAGTTATGAGGAAGGACTGTGAGTTGTCCACAGACTAAAGCCCTCAACATGGAAAATTCATAAAGTGCTGTTATTTTCTGCCAAGTGTCTGCTCCCCTTTTGTTTCTGTCTCCTTTTGGTTGTTCTCTGGACCCTTCAAGTATTTTTTAAAATATTTTGAGTGGAATTGATAATTATTATTTGCAGGAAAACTGGTCCAAATAAGCTCATCCACCATTACAGCAAGACTCTTATTTCATATCTTTCTGGAGTTTCTATTCATTTGCTGTTTTCTGGTTTTTGTCTCTTTATATTCTGAGTTTTCATATTTATGATTCTGTTGGGGGTTTTCCCCCTATATTGAAACATGTTTATCTGAGGTTGGTAGTGTGTGTCAGTTTCTTCCAGCTTCATTTTGTAGGAGGAAATTTTTAACTGCTATAATGTTTTAATTTTTACTTTATGTTTCCTCTTATTGACTGGTTGCATGATGTCTGCCGTTTACAATTTATGCGGCAATGTCCTATTTTTTTTTCCTCCTCGACCAGCAATAACAGGCCAAGGAAAGGATTTTAGATGGCTTATTGTATTTCACAGTTCAAGAGCACCCTCTTCTGTTCATTTAAGAGAATTGTAGCTTCTTTAATACTGCACCCTTTTGGGGGTAGGTTTGTCTTATGATTTTGTTCTGCTAATACTTTAATTTTAAAATATACTAAAAAATATACTGAAATTCCTCAGATGATAATGTTTTATTTTTTGATCTGTGTGATAGTGGCAAGGGTGTGTCCATTCCATGAGAATTCAGTGAGCCATGCATTAATATGTGTGCATATTGTTGTATGCATATTACACTTTAGTAAAAAGATAAATATATACTTAAGTCCATAATCTGTAGGGACTAATGAGTCAAACAGTACTATATTTAAGGAAAGTTTCCAACTTTATAACCTACCATTTTTGTCCACTTGTTACTCTAAAAGTTATACTTTGTACCTTTTTGCCTAAAAAGTATGATTGTTTTCAAATAATTTGATGCTTACTGCCCGTCTTTTCAAACTATGTCTTTTTTTTTGTCCTGTGGTACAGGGGATCAAACTCAGGACCTTGTGCTTGCAAGGCAGGTGCAACACCACTGAGCTAAATCCCCAGCCTCAAACTATGTCTTTATCATCCGTGAATTCTTTACCTTGACTGACCTTCCAGGTAGCTGAAGTATAGAAGCACCCCTCCATAGTTTCACCATAAAAACCTGGCATATCTAAGAATGTCTGTCGCTTCATAGAAGAAAAAAATGTCAGATAATAAACATTTTCCTTCAAATTTAGTTGGACAGTGCTCTCATATTTTCTAATACTGCATATGGCAATAGAGTATGGACCCAACCTTGTTTTTTAAAAATTCCATTGAGTAATTTTTGTTGAGTATAAAAATGGTTTACTTTTTAACATTGATCTTATATATTTACATTTATTAATTCTAACAAGTTTATCTATTAATTCTTTTGAATTTTTCACATACACAATTGAATTATGAAAGATTTTTCAATTCTGTCTACTGCTTTCTGTAGGACTCTATTCCCCTGCATTCTGTGAAATGTCAGATGTTCTCAAGGGAGAAGCCAGGTAAATGTGAATTTTACCTCATTATGGTTCCCTTCCCTTAGGTATCAGCCCCTCAAACCCTGCCTGAGTTCCATGTTCTCTCCATATTTTAAACATCCATTGTACATCTTTTAAAGTTTTTTTCATTGGGAGAATTGTTTGCAAGCTATTCCATCTAGAATAGAAAAGCAGCCTGAGTTTTTCTTTTGTTAAGTTTCTTTTACTCCCTTTTTGACATCCCCTCCACAGAGTAGGATATTGATTGATCACAGAAAAAAATTTCAGGATGAATTGGTAAGAGGCACGGAAAGGTTTTATTAGGCAGAATTAAATAAGTACACAGCCAAAGACAGTAGAGACAGGGAGAGGAAGAGGAGACCTATGCTCTGGGGTTAGAGGTATACTGTCTGTGTGTTCTTGAAAGTATCCTTTAAGGTGGGTTACCTAAGATGTTTTGCCTACAAAAATTCTTTGAATCCTTTAATTTGTTTATCTTAAGGTCAGGTTTCTACTCTTTGCCATATCAACTAATCTAATTTATGGATTTATAGTACCTTTAAAAACAAGACTCAAGGGCATCTACAGTCTTCAGGAGTAAAGCTGTAGAATACAAATATGTTTCTAGATTTTTTTGTTGCTGCTGTTCTGTTTTTGTTTTTCCTTCGTTCTTTCCCTCCTGTCTTCTTCACCAGTTTCCCAAAGCTTGGATAATCTTCCTTTGTCCTCCAGCCTTGTTTCTAATTTCTTTCTTTTCTTCTATTCCTCTATTTTTTCTCCTAACCCCTTTTAAATTTTCTCCCATGAGGGTAAAATCACCATATTGAGGGGATATTTACTGTCTACAATTTTCTGGTCTGTTTAAGGTTTTGTTATGTAACTACATCACTTGTTCCTATGGTTAAAGGTGGCAAATTAATAGTTACCACAGTTTGTCATTTTGTAGGCTGTGTTTCATGCTATTATTACTAATTGTACTACTTTAGCCAAGGTGACATAATTGTTCTAATCAGTTGTTCTCCCTTATATGCCAAGACTGAGTTTACCTTAGGATCACAAACAACACTATAGGCCAGTGCCAAAGAACCAGGGGGTAGGCCAAATAGGCAGCAACTTCTCATCCCCAGTAAAGAGGTAGGCTCTTGCAGCAGGCTCAAAACCCAAAACCAGCTACAGCTAGAGACATCTCAGAGAAGTAGTCATTTCCTAAAGGTTCTCAATGCTAGCAATAAAGCTACCTACCATAAGCAATTTACAAGCATCAACTCAGGAATTAATCTTTTTTTTTCATTTATTGTTTTTATTTGCAGGAGGAGTTGAAACAAATTTAAGAGTGTTTTTCTTTTTCCCCTAAACATGAACCATTCAAGTAAAATCAACTGAACTATAGAAATGTAGCAAAGCAAAGGGAAACCACAACAACCCAATCAGCAAAGGTTGGGGGGAAGAGGAGGGTACAGTTCACATATAACATGTACAAATGCCACATGATTCATCTGCTCAGGACGGCCTCCTCAGAAGGCAAGCACAAGGACCCATTGCAAGAGGATGTTTCCCCCCAAACGTCTGAGAATGTTTCAACTTAAAGCTTAAGATTAAAAAGAGAAAAGAAAAAAATAACAACAACAAAAAAAACACAACCCCAAGAACCACCCAGCCATAACCATCTTCCTTAATC